AAGCCACAAGTTTCAGGATGGCTGAGCGTTGAGGAGAACAGAGCCGCTGTCATCCTGTCATTTTCCGGATGACAGCGGCTTTCCCTGGTTACTAGATAACCAGGAGATGCTGAACTGTCATTACACACTGAGAACCTGGCAGAGCCGCCGTGATATCACAGCGGCTCCGCCGGGTTCTCAGTGTAATGACACATCAGCTGCTAACCAGGGGACGCTGATCTGTCTCTGCATGCAAGTGGCCGGAGCCAACCGTGAGATGATGGCTTTAAAAAAAAACATTAACTTAACTGTGGCAGCGCATGGCAAAGCTTTGTGACTCATTGCCATGCGTTGTGATACATTGTGTTGCAATTAAATATACACCTGTATCAAATATACACCTGTACATCAAGCAATGTGCACTTAGGTGACATCACACTGACCATCCAATAGGGAGAACAAAGAAAGCTAAAAGAGCAACTTAAATAGGCAGAGGAAGGCAAGGAATACTTTGGAGTGCCCGAGGGGGAGGAGAATGGAATAGGCTGGGACGTACCTTCCTGAATCGGGGGTTGGGGGCAGGGAGGTGTGATCAAACATAGCATTCGGTTTTAGGTTTTTCTTTTTTTCCACTCATCTCTATAGGTTGAACTTGATGGACATGTGTCTTTTTTCAACCTGACTATGTAACTATGTAGCCCGGTTGACAGACAGTTTTTGATCCAGAAAAAGCATGTACACATCTAATGTTCCGAATTACTCTTCAAGTGATCAAAAAAGGATATGGATGACAGCCCTTGCACATGCACAAAACAAACGCAAGTCTGCAGTTGAGGGCTTGTTCACGCCAAGAGCGGAGAAGATCCAGACCAGAGCAGGTGCAGACAGGATCAAAACTGCGTCCAATGTATTCTTATGGTATTTTGACCTCCAGTTCACATCGCAGCGTGCGGATCCAGACCAGGTCCAGAGCAGGTGAAAAAACTGCGGCAAGCCCTATTTTACCTGCTCTGGAACGCATCACAAATGCAACGCAATGCAACCCAATGCAATTCAATGGGAAAAAATAACCATAAAGAAAAAAAAACTCTTTTGTTATCTGTCATGACCTAATCTTCCTTTGTCACTTCCTGTCTTTGGAAAAGGTGACCTTGTGAGCTGGAGAGCAAAGGAAAAATGGTGGACCAGTTTTGTGACCCAGAGAGATTCATAAGTATGGTTCAACAGTGCACTGAGCTATATGACAGCAGACACTTTCAATATAAGAACAATAGAAAGAAGGCTGACCAGTGGAGTTTGATAGCAGGGAGAGTTTTCCCAGGATATAAGGATATGTCCTTGACAGATGAGAGCTGTGGTGAGTACTTCAATGTGATAGAGAGAGATTGCTAGCGAAGTAGAGAGAAAGCGAGAGAGTTATAGAGAGAGAGATTGCTAGAGAAATAGAGCGAGAGCTATAGAGAAAGAGAGTTATAGAGAAAGAGAAATAGAGAGAGAGTTATAGAGAAAGAGAGAGTTATAGAGAAAGAGAGAGTTATAGAGAAAGAGAGAGAGTGATAGAGAGAGAGAGATTGCTAGAGAAATAGAGAGTTAAAGAGAGAGTGATAGAGAGTGTGAGATAGATTCCATCACAAGGGACACATCACATGCAAACATTCCTACCTAGATATCGACATGCGGGTGTATGAAAAAAAACTTGTCTGGGTGTGCACAAAGGTCTGCATATAGAGTCCCAAACTGGCCCTTTGGATCTCTTTCTCTCATCAGTGGGTGCACCCAAAAGCGACGTCTCCTTACAGCACTTTGACGTAGCAGTATAATAACCATCACCAGGAGCATGCCTGCATCCCATGAATCCATGTTGCAACAATTTTACATGTGAAACAAGGTCAGAGGAAGCAGGAAATAATCGGAACAGCTAATGAAAAGTCAGAGGTAAAAGGAAATGACCTCATAACCTTGTTTAGCTTCCTGGGAAAAAAAAAACGCATCAAAAACGCGTCGTGCGTGTGCAGAAACCTGACCGGATCTGGTCTGCATTTGGTGTGAACAAGGCCTAAGGCTCCCATACTTCTTTCCTAACAAAGTCCTTTTAACTACACGTCACATGAGCAATTTTGTAGCAAAAAATGTTAGGCTTGTGTTGCAGTAATGTGTAGCTCAGCCCATGATTTGTTCACTTCTTGCAGTGTTTGGAGCTAGCTACTTGGCTGCAGGTAGCTAGCTCCAGATACTGTAACTAGCTACAGCAGCAATTTGACGGTCACAAATCTACAAAGTTGCTGTCTGATCTGGCCTGACGTCCTAAGTAAAACAGAAGTTAGAAAGTTTAATTCCAAGTAATACAGACAGTTAAGACACTACACAGAAAGAAGGCACAAAATAAGTAAGCAATGCAGTTCAAGAACTCTTTAAATTTACAATATAACAACTCTCTAAAACCAGCTTTTTAAACTGCACAAAAGAAGAGTGAAGATGTGTCATTCATTCTTTTGAAGGAGGATTTAGGCAAGAAGTAGTGCAAGTCGCAGTACTTCACTGTGAACAATGACAGTGGGCATAAGCTGCGCAAGTGTCTTTGTTATGCCCTCTAATTCTAGGTTTCTATAGCTACACATATCACAGCATTATTCATTCAGAAACCTGTTTGTTCTCTTATCAGAATGCTTTAATACTTCTCAAGCACTTAACCCAGACTTATTGTAAGTGTCAAGAGATCTCCATTTCCATTTCCTCTGATTATGGACCAACTGTACTCTCCTGAATTCGTGTTTAATATTGTTAGGAACTGTGTTTTATCACTGTCGTTTACCTCCTTTGAGATATATTATTCATTGTAACCTGTGCTGCATGATATATACAGCATGCCAAGTAAACCAGACAGAATTAAGTTTCTGACCTTTGCAAGAACGTCCATTCTTTGCAACATCCTCTTCATTTGTAAATCCTCTTCCTCTGTAAATCTGGACAGGAGAGGTTCCAATTGTCCACTCTTAAAAAAAGAAAATTAAAAAGCTTCAGTGTAAGATAAAAAGGTACATAAGCAGATTTTCCGCTGTAGATTTCTTATATTATATGTCCTATATTACTAAACAGCAACTTCCAATACTAATCTAGGAAATACTGGAAATCAGCAAGCCCATTCAAAGCAAATTGATATCATTTATTGCAGTCAGATTAAATCATACTCAAACTGCAATGATTGCATGCAACCTCCCCTCATGCACCAATGTGTGTGAGCAAGGCTGCAGCAGCCTTAAGCTGCCCATACACCTGACGATTATCGTACGGTAAATCGCAGGTGATCTCGCGATTGTACGATAATAGTAAGGTGTATGGGCAGCGTGCGCCCGCATTTACTGTAGGGTGGCACGATTTTTGTATTGCAAGCACGCTAGAAAACCCGCCGAAAATCGTAAGCGGGTTGGTAGCGTGATCACAAGACGAAAGCCGCACGGGCAGAGGTGCGCAAGCGCAGACTGCCCGCTCACCATTGCAATCATATGTAAGCCCTCCCCTCAGCGGGGAGGACTTGCGATGATCGCCATGTACGATCTGCCTGTCCAAGATGGGCAGGTCGTACAAACTTTTTACAACCATCGCACAACGAAAGTCGTGCAATGGTTGTAAGGTGTATGGCCACCTTTAGAGAGGAGTTGGTGCTTGTGAAAATATATTTCGGTATTCCGCAGATTTAAAGTAATTTCGAAGATGACTTAAAAATTATTTAGCTAGCATTGTAGATTATAAGGTAAATGCAAAGGTGAAAACTACAACAATTAAGCAGGTACTACAACAATTAAGCAGGTTGCCCAACGCCAATGCATATAAAAACCTTTCATGTTTCTTTGGTGTGTACATGACATTTAATCTTTCTGTTGATCTCTACTGTATATTTGTACTGTTGTTTTTGTACTGTTCTTACCATAGTATACCTTTGTTTACAATTTTTAAAATAAAAATATTTGATCATCTTATACAACCTCCTCCTCTCCACATCTCCTACCCACTCACACTCCTGTATGCTTATATGGGAAGAATTTGGTAATTTTCTATCTCCCGACGAGTGGGACCAAATATGGGACACAACTAGAACACTAGCAAAATGCTGAAGCCCTAGAAACCAACCATAAAAAAATGTTTGTCGATGTTATATGATCCCAAGTAGCTTTAGACACTACATTCCAGATAGAATGGGCATTTGTTTTCAAACTTGTGGGTAAATGAGAACTTATTTTCACACTAGACAGCCATGTCTAGTAGCTCATGTTTTTTGGACACATATCTATGGTTTATTATCAACTCTAATGGGTTCTTATGGAAGCACTCCTTAATTATCCCCTCCATGAGTCTCATTAAGACCAAAACTTCTCTTACATATCCTGATAGTAGCCAAGCAAATGATAGCAAAAGGATTGGTATCCGATTCACTCATTTCTTGAGGTGAAAACCAGATGATTGCATACTACATTTGCCATTCCACAAAATATGGGAACCATGGATTAACCTTTCTAGCCATTCTTTGACTGTAGACTTTTAGGTTTTTCTTCCCTACCAACAATGCCACCTCATCTTGGATTTGTATAATGTTGCAAATGGCCCCGGGGCGACCTGTCCCTTGTTCCCTTCCACGGCTTTTCCACTTTTCGCTCTCTTTCCTCTCTACAGTTCTTTTCTTCTTAGATTACTCTCTCTCTATAGGATTCCCTCTAATCCTATATGGACTGAAGATACTACTTGTTTGGGTTGCTGAAATAGGGGCTTACCGCTAGCCATTTAAACCACCTAATGTAACTTGTTAAAAAGCAACAGATAAGGAAGCGCACTCCTGGTGTATGAACATACTGCTGGATGCTGTACCCTGGGGAGTGGTGTGCAAGCTTCTTCAAAACAGGGAGAGGAACCCTGTGAGACAATCAGATTTACACTTAACTGGAGAGCGCAACTACCTAAAAGGGTACTGCAAAGCCTGATATGACTGGCTAAAAAACTGAGGTAAATGGTGCGTTCCTTACAGTTAGGATGTCCCACAGTAGTATGTCATCACAGGTCTCTTGGTACTGTCAGGTCCACGGCAGGCGTTGAGTGGCTGCCGGACTGAAACTGGGATGTCTGAACTGTCGCCAGCCCACGTACTCGGCTGGCTAGGCCGAGCCGCGGCAGCTGGAGAAGAATAGAGGTAGATGTCAGCCGGCTGGATGACCGTTTTGGGTGCGCTGAATGCTGTAAGTCAGTGCTAGTTTGTCAGATGGAGATGTGTTCTGATGTGAGATGGGCACGAAAGCAGGGTTGGCGGTAGGCTACGCATTTCGAGGGTTACCCTCTTTGTCAAGCCTTAGAACAATGCGGACCGCGGGAAACTGGGCTACTTTTAAAAAATGACAGTGGGTAGGAGCCACATCGGAGTTAGCCCAGTGAAAGGCTGAGTCTCCCGATGGGGGAGGGACTATAGGTCTGAAGAACGCCCAGGGGACGGGTCATCAGCTTCTCTCATGATTAGGTCTGAGTGTCATTAGGGGGCATTGCATGAGCGGGATCATATTGTTGGTCGTGCATATAGGCATTTTAAAAACTATTATTGCTGTTTCTGCCTCTGTCAGTTGGTGGACCCCTAAAGGGTTGTCCCTAGGGAACACTAATGGATTGTGTATTGATCTGCAAGTTTTTTTGTTTAAAATCCTTGAATATATTATAAATTTTAAAAACAACGCATGCCATCATCGTATTGATCGAATAAAAAATAGAAAATATAATGACATTTAAAACCAATGAATGAAAAGGATGAATCTATATGGATAAAAATATATATGGATAAAACCACTATGGAATGACTAACTTTCCCCAATGTGGGTTTTGGGGTAGCCCCAATTTGTCAAGTATGTATCCACATAACTCCGCTGTGAACCAAGGCTAAAGGAGCATGTGGACACCTATATAGTTAAAATTGCACCAAAAAATGCAGGTATGCCCACTTTATCAGAATCACACCGGTGTGTGCACACATCTATGTGCATGTTGATGTGCTTTCATAACACTTTTGTTGTTTAAAACATCCAATGCCCTATATCCTGAAAAGGGGAGGGCAAACATTGTGTTCTTGCTTGTGCTGGATAACTGTGTGATAACCTATTAAAGAATCTTATGAATTTCGATTTCTTCATTTAACCCATTGGGTGTCAAGGTGTTAAGTTTATAGATCCAGAACGTTTCTCCTACACAATGAATGAAACCGTTCTGATGGAGATAGGTGTGTGGGGATGTGTTCGATTGCAAACACCCTAAGGTCCTGGATTTTTTTGTGGTGTTTGACCGTGAAGCGTCTAGGGACACTATGTTCCAGGTCGCCCTTTGCAATGAGCCGTCTATGATCCCCGATACGGGCCCGCAGTGGGCGTATGGTGCGATCGACATACAATCAACCCACAGGGACAGGTGAGCACATATACCACATGATCATGGGAGCATGTGATAAACTGGTTTGTGATGTACCTTATTAAGGTGGTCAATGAACTGGGTTTGTCCATTCTCGATGAACTGGCAGGTGAGGCACCTGGGCTTTTTACATTGAAAGATGCCCACCCTATTGTCAAAAGGAAGTGTTTTGGTACAACCTCAGATGCTTGGAATGAGCGGCTCGGTCCAACCCTATTCTTTACATTTTTTGTTTTTCTGAAATTGATTGAGGGTTTAAAAAAAGTTGGGGCCCAATCTGGGGTCTTTCTGTAGGATGTGACTCATCCAACCCCAGTCCCCCTCCTCCACCCACTGCCACCCTCTCCAACTTAGTTTCAATTACCACACCTATTAACATGCAACCTCCGGATAATCAAAGAGAAGTCCTAGATGGGACCACAGCAGCGCAGACCCAACATCATGAGCCTCTTAATATCTCTACCAGTTCTTTTTTAGAGCAGGGACCTCTAATGACTCCAAACATCAAACGAAAAAAACAAGAAGAGGGATTAGAGGAGTAAAAGGTAGCAAAAATGCCAAAAAAAGAAAAGGGAAAACCAATAACTCCACAATAAAATTTTTCAACCTGTCCAAACATAGTCTCTCTCCCAGTGAAACGTCATTACTCAAAAAAGGTCTCAACTTTGCCCCAGATGCTAAACCAGACACCTTCACTCTCTTCAAGGACCTCAATAGATTTATTAGGGTGCTGACTCTCCGAAGACACTATTCTAATAACACCACCACAACTCCTCCAATTGTTACCACTCCCAATATTCCCTTTGAACTAGAAGTTGCGTTAGACATCCTGGAGAAACAAGATGGAGATATTTTGCAAACACTTTATGAATTAGTGGATCAGAATTCCACCTTTGAATTGGATTTGGAGACCTTCCTGAATCCCGATATCACACATACCACCCTTAGACCAAAATCCACGTTCTCCCTGATACACTCTAAGGGTCCCTTCATGGACACATTTTATCAAGCGGTCTATGCAGACCTCCTTGAAGTGTGTAAAAAAGCGAAACATCACAATCTCGCCCCCCTCGAAAACAGGGCACTCAAAGATCTAGAATCGAATCGGAATATTGTGACTAAACAAGCCGACAAGAGGGGTAGTCATTCAGGACCGCCCCACATACATCCAAGAGGCTCTCAAATTGCTTTCATCCAAGCACTTACAAATCCCTCCCAGCAGATCCCCTACCGATTTTTTCAAAAGAACTTGAAGGTTTAATTAGTCCAGCATATGGTAAGGGTATCATCAATAAAAAAAAGAAATCCTTATTAGCCAAACATCCAAATACGCCATATTTTTATCACCTACCCAAGATGCATAAGGACAGTCAAAATCCCCCTGGATGACCAATCATTGCCAGTACCAATAGTCTAACAAGTGGTCTTTCTAAGTATATAAACCACTTCTTACAACCAATAGTGTCCTCACTCCCATCATACATCAAAGACCCGGGACATTTGATCAACATTTTATTCATGTATACATGGAACCAAAATTACAGCTGGGTCTCCCTGGAT